AAAAAAATGCGGCAGATTTATGAAAAGAGCTGTAGTAAGCGCAGATCAACGTCTTTGTGATTAAGCTAACTATACAAACAGGCAATTAGTGTATCCTTATCCTTCATTCCAGAGACGTACTGGAACTGGTATCCATTCAATTTCTGGAGTCTGGGGCCCGACTGCTAGCGCACAGGTTAACTTCAGTTTTTTTTTTTTTTAGGTTTGCCTCGCAAGTGACTACTGGTATAAAAAAAAGAGGAAATACATGTACTTCAAGGGTAGTTTGCTGATATCAGCATTGTAAGCTTGAAGATAATCAAATGGCAACTGCAAAAATTAAGCGATTTCTGCGACGTAAGATAATTGGAGCTATTATATAGAATTCAAGAACGTGAATAATTGATCGTAGCTATTGGACCACAACCTGCAACACATGCGTTAATCTAGAACATTTAAAACATCTTGAGCCCAGAACATGTTCATCCAGCATATAATGATCTGCTGAATATGGATTTTTACGAATAGAAGGCACCTTTCTATTAGAAGACCGCCCCTATATTTTCGAGAACGTTCCAAAAATGAAAGCCTGCTTCGAATAGGAGACTGCATTCTGATACATAATTCAATCACAAACTTCATTTTACCATGCGTCAAGCAATCGACATCACGAAGAAGCAAGAGGCTATCAAGTGGATCGGCGAGCAGGGAGGTGGTGTTGCAAGCCGCGCGGCGCCACACTTTCGCAAGTTGGGGTGGGACGTTGATGCCTCTACTTTTCGCAAGTGGTGGCGCAATAAGGAGGGAATAATGGCCGCCCAACCGCAAACTATCAAGCCTGATTGACGAATGGGAGCGCTCTGATAACGTGGAGTACATCGCACGTGGTACTCCGCGCCCACCGTCAGTAGAAACAGTGTGCAACTGGGTACGAACTGCCTGGCGAGAAACTTTGACGTCTGTCGTATTGAACTCGATCGAGGCCGCCGGGTTTCATCAGAGCCCATCGCGGTGGTCCATATGGAACCACGACGTGTATGTGTGGTGATTTCAGCAACAGTCGGGTAGCAATGAAAACAGCAAAATGCAGGGTCCGTTCAATGTGGGACATCGAAATTGTTGCGCAATAAAAGTCCTCTACGAAAAGTAGACCTCTTGTCAAAAATGATAACTTTTAGGAGGCCACTAATAAATACTAGACCGGCTACTATTCGTA